GAGCGAGAAGCAGGCTCCCCACTGAGCAGGGAGCCTGATGCGGGACTCAATCCCGGGACTCCAGGATCATGACCTGAGCCGAAGGCAGTCGCTTAACCAACTGAGCCACCCAGGTGCCCCTCTAATTCTTAATCTTGAGTGCATGATATCCAAGTGAAATCATGAAGTAAATAATTAACAGATTTATCTGTGAAAACAACACTCCTGTTTCAATACCCCCTTGCCAAGTTAAAAGCAAATTAAGCACAAATTTTTTGTTCTACATATGAGAAACAAAATATTTGACTGAATTAATAAGCAGTTTTTTAAAAGATTCATTTTTAAGTAATCTCTATATACAACATGGGGCTCGAACTCACAGCTCCAAGATCAAGTCATGTGCTCTACTGACTGAGCCAACCAGGTGCCCCAATAAGCAGTTTTTATATATCAATACACAGATGAACACACTGATGTGAAAAAGAATGAGCTAAGGATATAAATGGAGATTTAATACAAATAAATGTGTACATGAAAATATATCTAGGGATGCCTGGGTGGCTGTCGTTAAGCATCTGCCTTTGGCTCAGGTCATGATCCCAGGGTCCTGGGATCAAGCCCCACATTGGGCTCCCTGCTCAGTGGGAAGCCTGCTTCTCCCTCTCCCACTCCCCCTGCTTGTGTTCCTGCTCTTACTATCTCTGTCAAATAAATAAATAAAATATTTAAAAAAAAGAAAATATATCTAAATTTATGAGATAATAATATAGATATGTCATTAAATATTCCATACTGGCCTAAAAACTAGCAAATTTTTATAAAAATCATATCCATTGTACCATAATTTTCATGCACTATTAATTCCAAATTAATTTGGTGTAAAAGAACTCATATACAACTTTCCTAGAGAGTATTTTATGCCCTTATTTAAAACAAATATGTTCTTGAATGCAACCCATTTAAAAGAATATACTTCATGGTAATGGTTAAAGTGACAAGTTATATTTTCCATAGGATTATTTATATTAGCAAACTTTGGAAACAATAATTATGAATAGGCAAATAAAGTATTCTATTCCAAAAAATGGAAATCTGGGCAGGTGTTAATAATAATTATGTAGAGGTATAATGACTGATACAAGATCTCAAGAAATGAGAAAAAATAGGTTACATATAAAAATAGGTCTCCCCGGGGCGCCTGGGTGGCTCAGTTGGTTAAGCAACTGCCTTCAGCTCAGGTCGTGCGTGATCCTGGAGTCCCAGGATCGAGTCCCGCATCAGGCTCCCTGCTCAGCAGGGAGTCTGCTTCTCCCTGATCCTCTTCCCTCTCATGCTCTCTGTCTCTCATTCTTTCTCTCTAAAATAAATAAATAAAATCTTTAAAAAAAAAATAGGTCTCCTCAACTTTGTAAAGTTATAGATGTGCCGTAAAATATAAATGTGTAATATAAACAGTATTTTTAAAGGTACATTTAATATTAGGCACTGGCTAATTCTAACTAGTTGATAAAAATTTGAAATTCAAGTTTCATCATCCTTAAGATAATTCCTTTTAATATTTGTATAATAAAGAGTGGTTCAGCCCTAAAGACCCTGAAACACAACCAATATGGCTCAAATCCATATCATCCCACTTGGAAATGGTGGGCCTTGGGCTAGTTGCTTAATATTCATAAGCTCTATTTTTGCTCATTGTTATAATGGCAACATTATTACCACACGTGCAGGGGTTTGCTGCTAGATTTAAATCGGTTAATTATGGGGCACCTGGGTGGCTTCATCGATTAAATTGGTTAATTATGGGGCACCTGGGTGGCTTCGTCGATTAAGCATCTGACTCTTGATTTTGGTTCAGGTCATGATCTCAGGGTTGAGAGATCCAGCCTGCATCAGGCTCTGTGCTGGCGTGAAGCCTGCTTAAGAGTTTCTCTCTCCGTCTCCCTCCCACACTCGTGCTCGCTCTCAAAAAAAAAAAAAAAAGTTAATTATGTGAAACTTTTAGCACTGTACCAGGCACATGTTAAGCATAAACATAATTTACTCAGTCACCCTCCGTGGGATAAGGCATGTTGTTGCTGGAAAAAACTGACAATGATTGAGTTGAACACCAACATCATCTACTGCTTTAGCCAAAATCCCCCTATCAAGTGAGAGCTGTGATGGTTAATTTTATGTGCCAATTTGACTGGTCCACAGGTGTTCAGGTATTTGGTTAAACACCATTTCTGGGTGTGTCTGTGAGAGTGTTTCATATGAGATTAACATTTGAATCAGGGGACTAATTGCCCTCCCCTATGTGAGCAGTCCTCACCCAATCCATGGAAGGCCTGAATAAAATGAAAAGGCTAAATAAGAAAGCTTTCTGTGTTTATCTTGAAGCTGGGACATCAGTCTCCTCCTCCCTTCTGACTCAGTCTCCAACTGGAACTTACACCATCAGCTCTCCTGGTTCTCAGGCCTTCAAACTCCAACTCACACTATACCATTGACTCTCCTGGGTCTCCAGCTTGTCAAATGCAGATCTTGGGACTTGCTGGCCCCCGTCTCCTCTCTTTGTCTCTCCTGCCCCTTTCCATCTTCCTATATATACTATTGGTTCTATAGATGATAGATAGATGATAGAGATAGATAGATAGATAAATGGATGATAGATGCAGAGCTCTATAGATTCTATCATCTATCTATCTCTATCATCTATCTATATCTATCCATCCACCCATCCTATTGGTTTTGTTTCTCTGGAAAGCCCAGACTAACACATGAGCAAAAGAAAGAAATTTTAGGCATAGAAGGGCTCAGCAATTATGCCATTTACTGTAGGGACCCACATAAACTGTCTAAGGGAACTCCTAAGAAAGGGGATCCAGCCAAATGACATTTAAACATTTAAATCAGAACTAAGCTTTCATGAAAGGGAGATGAGGTGAACACAAAGCAGTGATGTTCCCACACCTCTGAACCTCTTCTAGTTCTTCTCAAAGTCTCAAGCACTTTCTTCTCTTGGGGCTTTTGCAATACTGGCAATTCTCTTCTCCCTGTCTTTGCCATAAGCTTTACTATCACCTTTCAAACTGCTGCTTATTTATTCTCTTACAGGCCTTCCTTATATCTCTATTTAAATCAAGATCATCCATCACTGGTTCTCAAAATCCTCTTCTTTTTCATTATCATTCATCATACTGTGTAACTTTATTTATATTTGGATTTTCCAATGTCCATCTCCATGGGTCAAATAAAATGCCCATTACAGCATGATTGTTGACTCTTCAGTTATTCATCTATAACAGGAGTCAGAAAACTTTGGGAGGCGCGTGGATGGCTCAGTGCGTTAAGCGTCTGCCTTTGGCTGAGGTCATGGTCCCAGGGTCCTGAGATTGAGCCCTGTGTCGGGCTCCTTGCTCAGTGGGAAGCCTGCTTCTCCCTCTCCCACTCCCCCTGCTTGTGTTCCCTCTCCCGCTGTGTCTCTGTCAAATAAATAAATAAAATTATTTTAAAAAATAAAAGAAAACTTTGTCCTATGGGCCAAATCTGGCCCACTGCCTTTTTTTCTGTGGCTCTGGCCAATCAGCAAAGAATAAGAATGATTTTTACAGTTTTGGGGCGGGGGGGTACTTTTACATTTGTAAATGTTGGAAGAAATCAAAGGACAGTCCTTTGTGGTAGTTGCAAGTTATGAGATTCAAAAAAAAAAAAGAAAGAAAATTATGAGATTCTAATGTCATGTCAAATGTCACTGGAACACAGCCACACTCAATCACTTACATATTATCTATGGCTTCTTTCAAGATACAACCTCAGAGTTCAGTAGCTGTGATAGAGACCCTGTAGCTCACAGACTCTAGGATACTGACTGTCAGGCCCTTTACAGAAAACATTGCCAACTCCTGCACTATACTCAATATGGAGTACCAATGCCTGGCAGATAATGGAATCCATTAGTCCAAGTTTGGTAGATCACTGACATCAGGCATTTACCTCAGGGGCTGGACTTTTAAAAGCAATAACTTAGGGGCACCTGGGTGGATCAGTCAGTTAAACGCCTGACTCTTGGTTTCGGCCCAGGTCATAATCTTAGGGTCTTGAGATCAAGCCCTGCATTGGGCTCTGGGCTCCATGCTGAGCGTGGAGTCTGCTTGAGACTCTCCCTCTCCCTCTCCCTGTGCCCCTCCCCCTCCACTCCCTCTCTCTAAAATAAATAAGTAAAATCTTTAAAAAAAATTTTTAAAGCAATCACTTATGCCTAGGCATAAATAATTTAACACAATATGGCCCAAATAAGGAGATACTAGAAACAGAAGGGTAATTTTTTCAACCACATGAATTATTTCAAAATCACCCCTTCCAAGAAAGCAACTAGAGGTTTTCCACCAGCTAAATGAATGGAAAAGTAAAAATTCAATACAGGAGAGAAGTGAAGAAAACCCCCATAGTGATGGTGGTAGAGGAGGCCACATCTCTTGAGCATCAGGCATAGAAGGCAACCAGTTAGGATGAATATTAAAAAATTGTGGCCAAGGATAATGCAGACCCACTTCTCCACAGTAAACACTCAGGAATAGTAGAATTAAACTGAATCAAAATTTTTATTGGTGAAATCCATAATAATGGTATATGGATGTCACTGAATTATGACGCATTAATGGAATATTTTCAAATCTTGAATGTCTACTCTGAGGCAATAAATTCTGCTAATTTACATAGACTATCTGCCCAAGAATACAGAAGATGCTGAAAAATGTAGTTGTCCCTAAAGAGTCACTGTATAGCTTGAGAAAAGGGGAGAGAATAACACTTATTTCTTTTGAACTTAGCACTATGTTTGTGTGCTATAAAAGTAAACTTAGTAAATATATTCCCCCAAATTCTTTTTTTTTTTTTAAAGACTTTATTTATTTATTCATTAGAGACAGAAAGAGAGAGGCAGAGGGAGGAGCAGGCTCCCAAGGAGCAGGGAGCCCGATGCGGGACTTGATCCCAGGACCCCGAGATCACAACCTGAGCCGAAGGCAGACGCCCAACCATCTGAGCCACCCAGGCGCCCTTCCCCCAAATTCTAATCACACCTTTGTTTCATTTCCACATTGTTAATTTTGGCCTTCTCATCCTTAAAGCTAACAGAATTCCAGGAATTAAACTTAAAAAAGTAGGCTTCTCTGACTCTGGAAGAATGAAAAAATTTTACAAGGTTAAACCATTAATATTTCCCCTGTCCCTCATAGTTACAAAAAAAAAAAATCAGAAAATAAAAAACTCCTAGTAAATGTTCTAATACTGAATTTAATACTTCAGAATTTTTGCTATCTTTTTGAAATAAACACTAACCTCTGATTAGTCTGTAATTATACTTGATGGTCTTAATATACGCATTTAATTTAAACTGTCATCTGTTTTATGAAATATATACATGTAAAATTTTTTGTTGTTAAAATAAAGGATCACTGGTTCTTTCTTCATACATGCAAAAAAAGACAGTAAAATTTATGAGCCTGCTACATTTAAATAAAAACTCCAAGGGTCTGTAATTAATTTAAAGTATACCAGTGATTACTTCAGAAATTACCTATGACCCAAGTTAACAATTAGGTTTAAGAGCAAACATACTGTTAACTAATGGGAAATGTTCCTTGCCCTTAAGAGTCACAGAAAATGATCTCTCCTACTCTTTTCCCTCAGTATTGTCATGCCTGTATATAATGTCTAGAAATCTGTCAGCCATCATGGTACCCCAGCCAACACTGGGGAAGACAAAGTGAAAAATAGAAGAGAATCTGAGTCTCTGAATATTTCATTTTGCTGATGAATCAAAAATCTCTGGAACCTCTTCTCTCCTCACCCCCCAAAAAAGCCTGTTATATGACTCGAAATACTTCCTCATTGCTTAGGCTAGTTTGCTATTTTGATTTTTGCTGAGTGTATCCTAACTACATCAAATAACTAAGGGTCATGGTTCATACTGGGAGCTACAGATACAGAGATAAAACTGATTCCATCACAGCCACCAACTCATGTCTGGTGGGGGAACACACACACACACACACACACACATACACACACACACAGAGTCACTGCCTAGGTGGTAAATGCTGTCCTACAAGTTTTACAAATGCTTTGTGAAACCAGACACACCTAATACATCCAATGTCAGGAGGAAGGAGTGGACAAATATTGCAAGAATATCCAAATAGCTAATAAATAATCAGAAAAGAATGGAAATGTAAACCATGATACCTACCAGAGTAGCAAACACTTTTCTTTTTAATTGATGATGCCAAATATTGTCAAGGATATGGAGAAAGCAGAACATTCATACACTGTTGGTGGGAGTGCCAGTTGGAATTTTTGGAACCTATTTAGAAAAATTAAACTTACTAAAGTTGAACATAGGCATACCCATGACCAAACCCAAGCAACTCCACTTTCAGTATATGGAGAAAAACATGCACAAGTACGATCATAACAGTCTGATAAGGAGCTCTGATTTCCCAACATAGTACTCCCAAGAAGACATAATGAAGGATTTTCAATGTTGTAATGCTCCTTTTATGTGAATCTTAGCTGGTACTACATGGCTGCAAAGCCTCCTTAAAAGAATTGTGCTGGGCACTCTGAATTTGTTGTGTCCAAAGTAGAACTTCAAAGATAAGAAAATCAACAGATGGAACTAGAAAAGTGATTAAAGATCTCCAATTCAAAACAAAATAACCCAATACAGTCATACAATTTTAAAGAACAGGTAATTGCAATACAAAAACAAACAAAAATACCTCAAAAGTATAACTTTTATATAATCTCACTCATGAGATGTAAAAATTCTAAATAAAATAGTAGCAAGTGAAATCTAGCAGTGCACCAGAATACATACATATACCAATAATTAACCTGGGTATATCCAGGAATGGGAGAAAATCAAACAATCTGTCAATAAAATTATCACATTAACAAATTAAATACTATACAATTGCAGGAAGAGATGATGAAATGACATTTGATAACTCAGGAGCCCTTTTGACTTAGATACAACAAAGATTTTTACTCACGAAGAAAAGAAAACATTAGAAGGCAATCATTTGAGAGCATGATGCTAACTACCTTTCCATCATAACAAGCAGACTTAGTGACTGAAATATCCAACTTTAGGGCCTCCTAGTTATGGCAGCATTCCCAAAGCAGTTTCATATCCCTAAGATGCAAGTAGGTAATGGGCATCAGTATTTCCATGGTAAAGTTTGAGATCACCAGTTTAAATGAAGTCAAACAATTTCATTCAATAGAATACTCTAGTTTTCTAAGTTGACTAGGTGCTTTTGATTTTTCCTTGAGAGGGGATTTAATAGTTTCTACTTCATAGGCTTCATTAACCAGAGAATCCCACTGTTTGTCAAGTACTATTCAGTACTGGTAATTTTTGAGACATAATTTCAGAAATTCTGGGACAATTTTAGTTATATAAATTGCTTCTGTATATTGGTTTAGGGTTTGTTATTTTTCTAGCTTCTTAGTTCAGTGTGACAGGGATGGTGCAGATACTGGGGAAAACAAAGCATAGTTCTGGCCCTCCATCTGGCCAGATGCATCTTGGTTTCCTCCGAGACACATTAAAAGGTATTTTCCACTGAATAGAGCCTCAGGCACATTCTACAACTTCTGATACACAATTTAACTATCATTCTTTTTTGAACAATCTGTAATTGTTTCCATTTTATCTTTAATTCAGAACTTACATATACATATGACAGGACTACATTTTCAAAAGTAGTTGAAAGGTTCACCAATCTTACTAGTTGTATAATGGACCTTTATAATGGAGAGCTCTAGCAGTCACCATCTTAAGCAAATGACCAAACTTAGCATTGGCAGTAGTGAGAAAAATGGGTATTATGTGTTTCTGGTGTACTGCAATATGAAGTATGTATCACCAAATATCATGTATTCTGGCCAAAAATGTTTAAGTCTCTGGCTCTAACTCGACTTTATGAGAGATACAAAGGATAGAGGCACAAATTAAAGCTCACCATGAGGGAAGAAACCAATCCAGAATGCATGGCATTCTATAAAACAGCTTTCCTTAACATTTCAAAAAGTCTTTTCAAGATTAAAATCTAGAGACATGATAACCAAATGCAATACATGAATATAGAAAAGATGCTGGTTAGAAAATAAATAGCAATAGGATACCTTGGGAGTATTGGGACATATGAAGTGAATATAAAAGAATATTACAGAATTACTGATAATTTTCTTGTGTGACCATGGTATTAAAGGCTGTTCTTATTCTTAAAAGATGCATGCTAATATATTCAGGAATTAAGTATCACTTCTATGTCATAAGATATTGGTGACTATATGTACACATACATACCTATAATTTCAGAGAGAAAGCAAATATGATCAAATGTTAATAATTACTGATTCTAAATAGAGTACATGGATGTTTATTATACTGTTCTTTAAATTTTTCTAAGTGTCTGAAATTTGTAATATAAAATTTGGGGAAAGAATTCCCAAACGGACAAATTTTTGGTTTTTTTAATTTGTAATTTATCTCAAAATGTGAGCAGAGAATCTTAGTCACTGGCTACTTCTCTGTTTTTATTCATCACAGGCAAATTGCTTCACACCTCTCCCTGGTTCTTCAATAGGTATATTCCCAGCATCTTTAACACTAAGTCCACATTTCTTTTCAGCCTTCATTTTTTATGCAGCTTAAGGGATAAACTCTGAATAAAAATCCTCTCAAGTTCGTGTTTTTCTAGATTTTATCCATAATGAGAACTATCTGAAATTCAAATGGATGAGTGGTTATGGAATCTTGTCTAAATTCATTACACCAATGAGCATTCTTTTCATAAGAATTCACTAGTAGTAATACTAATGATGAAGATAATAAGAACAATAGCAAACATGTACTGAGCTTAGGCTACATACGAGATACTCTTCCAAGGATCTGATGCATACTACCCATAGGTAGTAAGAAGGTGGAATGGTGAGGACAGTAAGTATGGTTTGTGCCATGTGTGAGAGATTTCCTGTATTTGTTACATTGATAAGGTTATTCTCCAGGATGAATTCGCTGAAGTTTAACAAAGTTTGAATAGTGTCGGAAGGCTTCTATACCTTCATTAAATGAACACTATTTGTTATAAATTATGCTATTATAGGCGTAAGGAAGTTGTGACTCACACATTAGCCAAATCTTCCTGTAGTGTGAATATTCTGCTATTCTAATCAGAGAGGTGACAAGTGAAGCATTTATTCTAATTAAATTATATTGTGACTTGTCTCATGTTTTAATTTTTTTTTTTATTTGATTTGATTTTATTTTTTTTAAAGATTTTATTCATTTACTTGACAGAGAGAGAGGGAACACAAGCAGGGGGAGTGTGAGAGGGAGAAGCAGGCTTCCCGCAGCGCAAGGAGCCCGATGCGGGGCTCGATCCCAGGACCCTGGGATCATGACCTGAGCCGAAGGCAGACGCTTAACGACTGAGCCACCCAGGCGCCCCTTGTCTCATGTTTTTAAAACTGAATGTTGTCTCTCAAATTATTTCTTGGAAAGGGCAAACTTTTTAACTTCTAATCATTCATGAGCTGATTGATACTTTTATAAAACACAATGATAATGTTATGGCAATATGAAATTGCTGTAAGTTTCCAAACACTTACTCTTATTTTCCACATTCATCTCATGATGAAAAGGTAACAATTTTGTGGACTGGCACAAGTCTCTAGACAACAGTTCTAGTAGTTCTTGTCTAAAGGCCTTCCTAGATCCCAATTTAAAGGGTTTCTCATTTGCATTCATTCTATGATATACCCTAAGATATTTATCACATTTGTAAGCCTTCCCAAATTCCTTAAATTCATAAAATTTCACAGCAGTATGAGTTCTCTAATGCACACAGCAAAAACTGAATTAGGTTTTGGTTCTTCCTACATTCCTTAAAGTGTTTCTAATGAGTAAAAATTCCCCAATGTTTACCAGACTTTTGTGCCATGAATAAAGATCTTCACACATTCCTTACATTTAAATGATTTCACATCAGTATAAACTGATATTCAATAAGACTGTATAAAATTCTAAGGGCCTTTTCATATTCCTTATATTCAAAGTATTTCTCACTAGTATGAATTTTCTGATATCAAGTAAATTGTCCACACACAGATAAGGCTTTTGCACATTCCCTACATTCATAAGCTTTCTCAAGATTAAGATTCCTCACGTTAAGTTGTTTATACACATAAAAAATTTTCTTTCATCTCTTCAATCATAAAGTTTCACCAGTAACAACTGTTTCATTTGAATAAGTTGTCCATATAAAGGCTTCCCCACATCCCTTATATTCATAAGGCTTATCATTACTAGTTCTCTCATGTTGAACAAGATTTGAGCCATGAACAAAGGTCTTCCCAAATTCTGTACACTGATAAGGGTTCTCACCAGTATGAAATCTCTGATGAACACTAAGTTGATAGCCACTACCAAAGGCCTTCCCACATTCTTTACATTCATAGGATTTCCCACCAGTATGGATTCTCTCATGTTTAACAAGGCTTGAACCCCAACTAAAGGCCTTCCCACATTCCTTACATTTAAAAGGTTTCTCACCAGTATGGATTTTCTGATGTTGAGTGAGGTGATAGCCACGACTGAAGGCCTTCCCACATTCTTTACATTCATAGGGTTTCTCACCAGTATGGATTCTCTCATGTTGAGTAAGACTTGAGCCACAGTTAAAGGCCTTCCCACATTCTTTACATTCATAGGGTTTCTCGCCAGTATGAAATATCTGATGTCGAGTAAGTTGATAGCCACTACCAAAGGCCTTCCCACATTCTTTACATTCATAGGATTTCTCACCAGTATGGACTCTCTCATGTTTAACAAGGCTTGAACCCCAACTAAAGGCCTTCCCACATTCCTTACATTCAAAAGGTTTCTCACCAGTATGGATTTTCTGATGTTGAGTGAGATGATAGCCACGACTGAAGGCCTTCCCACATTCTTTACATTCATAGGGTTTCTCACCAGTATGGATTCTCTCATGTTGAACAAGACTTGAGCCACAATTAAAGGTCTTCCCACATTCCTTACATTCATACGGTTTCTTGCCAGTATGAAATATCTGATGTCGAGTAAGTTGATAACCCCAACAAAAAGCCTTTCCACATACTTTACATTCATAAGGCTTCTTACCAGTATGGATTTTTTGATGTTGAGTAAGTTGATAGCCACGACTGAAGGCCTTCCCACATTCTTTACATTTATAAGGTTTCTCACCAGTATGAATTATCTCATGTTTAGCTAGGCTTGAGCCCCAAAAAAAGGCCTTCCCACATTCCTTACATTGGTAAGATTTCACACCAATATGAATTTTCTGATGTTGAGTGAGGTGATAGCCACGACTGAAGGCCTTGCCACATTCTTTACATTCATAGGGTTTCTCACCAGTATGGATTCTTTCATGTTTAACAAGACTAGATCCCCAACTAAAGGTCTTCCCACATTCCTTACATCCGTAGGGTTTCTCACCAGTATGAAATCTCTGATGCACAGTGAGTCGATAGGCACTAAAAAAGTCCTTCCCACATTCTTTACATTCAAAGTGTTTTTCAGCTGTATGAGTTCGCTCATGTTGAACAAGTTTTGAGCCATGACTACACGCCTTCCCACATTCCTTACAAACATAGCGTTTCTCTCTATTATGAATTCTTTGATGTGCACTAAAAGATTTACTTTTTCTATAAGTGGGCATTTTTCCATAGCTAATTATCATTTGACTAAAGTATCCCTCTTGATGTCCCTGTGGTCCCTCAAATTTGCTTTTGCACTTAGAATTATTTTCGAAAATGGATGCCTCAAGGCCAAGAGTTTTACTTCTTTCCTTCATCTCCCATTGGGAAAAATTTATTTCAAAAATGTCTTTTTCTGAAATTGTATTTTTGGTCTCATATGTTGACTCCAAATCTGAAAGAAAACAAGAAAACCACAGATTTTATTTCCTTTCCCAGAAAACTTCACCAGGGGAAAAAAAAAAACAAAAAACCCTCAACAGAGAAATACAAGACAAATTGGAAATAATACCCATAAGTGAATTGGGAGATTTATTAAGCTCACTGCTAAGCATCATGTCTCTACCCTGTTGAACAACAATCTCAGCTTTGACTTTTCAGCTTTAATGATCTTAATGCTCTGATCTAACAGCTTTCTGGAGGATTCCACCAAGATCACTTTAACAAGTTCCTTATCTCCCCATATGGATGACCCCTTAAACCAAATGTGCCCTTCCATCAATCAAGCCCTTATGTGCCCAAGTGTGGTTCAGCTGAACTTTTAATGACTGTGTAGGCTGGCATGAAGAACTGGAATCTAGAAAATCCCCAAACTCAAAAACAAAATCAAGCACACCTGAAACTAATATTGTAGGTCAACTATACTTAAAAAAACAAAACAAAACATCAAACTACATAATACTTCTTCACAGGAATTTTTCTGAGTGATTGGGTGCTGGCATAGAAAGCAGACAAAATTCTGCAAGCCAAGCAGTTACTAAGTTCCAAGGCTCTACTGGAGATGAAACGTGTGAAACAAAACCAACTAAAACTATAATACAACCTCCACTTCGCTCAAATCCTGATACAATCAAAGAGATAAGCACATGGTCATGTGGGAAGTTTATGGCAAAGAAAGATTTTTACATCTAATTTGAAACCAGAAATAAACTGAAACTAAGAAAAGCTAAGACTCAGTCTCAGCTCAGCTCCATGCTTGGTGGGATCTGAGTTATCACTCCCTCACTCTAAATAACTGAGAAAGGAGCATATACTTTTATGGGCAGGGAACCATCTATTCTTTACTGTTCTTCAAAACGTCTGGCACACAATAAAAAATCATGAGGTAGGTGAGGAACAGGGAAAGTGCAACATATAATCACCCCCCCCAAAAAAAACACAAAAGAGACAAAGAACAGATGACACAGATATTAGAATCAATAGGCAAGGCTAATCAATTGTATTTTATAGATTCTGGAAGAAAAGATGGACAGTGAGCAGATGGGAAACTTCAGCAAAGAAAAGGAAACTCTAAAATTGTAAAACAGAAATTCTACAACTAAAAAACCCAAACAGAAGCACAAAGAGAAAAAAGAAGGGAAAAAAAAAAAAGAACAGTGTCAGATCTGTGCAACAGTATCAAACAATCCAACTTCAGGCAAGAGCATTCTAGAAAGAGGACAAAACCGAATAAGTACTTGAAAAGATTGTTGAAATGTTCTTGAAATGTATGAATAATCAACCTACTTTTAGCAAACTGCAAGCAGGATAAATACAAAGAAAAGCAACAATTGAGAACATAATCAAACAGTTGAAAACTGAAGATAAAGGAAAAATAGTAAAAGGAGGCAGGGAAGGGGGGGACATTAAAGTTAGGGGAACAACTAAACATTATGGCTGACTTCACATCTGTAACAATGGAAGCTACCAGACAATGGAATGATATCTTTAATGGCTGAAGGAAGAAAGCTAGAAAACCTAGAGTTTTATATAAAGCAAAAAATTTCTTCAAAATGAGGGTGAGACATTTCCAGCCCTAGCTATGAAGAAAAATCCGGTATTAGATTTAACTCTCAAACCACAAACAACCAAAAGCTATAAAACAGGACACTAGACACAGGGCTGAGAAACTTTTAGAGAAGATTATCAGGAGAACTTCATATTCACCCTTTATGCCTGGCTGCATCCTCCAAAACAAGGTACAGGAAAATGCTCTCCAAATAGAGAGCAGTGGTCTCACTTGGGCAAAGGATCTGAGTTCAGGGCTGCTAAGGTAGCTGGAATTTGTAGTTTAAGGTTAAGTAAATAAAGGAGCCATGTAACAGAGTCCCAGAAATCTACGCAGGGATTCCCTCCCTTGGATCCATAACCAAATATTAAGTTACGTATCCATACAGTGACTCTCCACAAGGTAGTTGGAGTAACACAGCCTAAGTGGAAAAAGGCATTCATCTGAGGCCTCACAGAGACCATGTATTGAAAGACCCATCATCTGGAGCAATAGTTCTCAAACTTGTTGGTCTCAGAATCCTTTATATTCTTAAAAATTATTGATGAATTCTTTGCTTGCTCATGCATAAATTTATTTCAAATACAAAATACATAAGGTTAGTATTTTTATCTAATGGTGATTTTATAACATTTTAGTTGATTTACTAAAGGGTAGAGAAGTACTGTGGATGTATTTGTGGGAAGTAATTATAGTCATGGCCAGTTGGTCATAGCTAAACTACAGTAACTATTGTTTTACTTAACAATGTCTTATTGCGGGCGCCTGGGTGGCTCAGTTGGTTTGGCGACTGCCTTCGGCTCAGGTCATGATCCTGGAGTCCCGGGATCAAGTCCCGCATCGGGCTCCCTGCTCAGCAGGGAGTCTGCTTCTCCCTCTGACCCTCCCCCCCTCTCATGTGCTCTCTGTCTCTCTCA